AGCCACCATTACTCGACCAAAGGTGTTCTGTACGTTTTGCAACTGAGAGACGTCAATACCGACGATGGGCATTCTCTGGTATCTTCAATGCCTGACGTGATAGAAATAGGTCGCAACGCTCTGAAGGTGTATGATCAAGCAATAGAGAAGATGCCCGGGCTCAATTTTCTACTCAGTGAATGGAAAAATAGAAGTTATCGTCTTGCTCCTGAAAATCGTTAAGTCTTTGCCTTGTTTTTGTCTCAGGGAAGATCCCAGTTTCACAAGATACTTGGAGGTGGGCGAGATCCCTCAAGAAATGGAAGATCTTCTGCAGCAGGAAGATCACAAATTCATCCAGAATCTTGGCCTAACCACGTTACAGCTACTTGATGCACTTTTCGAAGATATCAAATACAGGCAATCGACCACGTACGTCAATGAAAACGAATTTAGAGGCTTAAGCACTGCAAACGTAAGGGCGTGCAAGTTGCGACAAAAATTTTACGAAATCAGTGGATTTGACAGAAGTAGGCTGGTTACTGTGCAGGTGCAGGAGTCTTTGTCACCGTTATCGAAAAAGGCGCCTGATCTCCTTCAAGTAGTGGTGCAGGATACCCTTTTCAAGAATAATGAAACCTCGTACAGTGGCTGGTACAACCTTAACAAAGAAGTGGTTTTGTCCATTTATCACCTCTTAAAACCGCATTGTCTACAGGGTAGTGGCAACCATGACAACATGTTCATTTTCTCCAGGGCCTGCCTTCGCCTTCCACCTGAAGACAAACCACCCGTCGAGGAGCTTGATAAAGTTGTACAAACGTGGNACATTGCCGTCGATATTGCTATTCGCCTGCAGCCCAACTATAGCCACCATTACTCGACCAAAGGTGTTCTATACGTTTTGCAACTGAGAGACGTCAATACTGACGATGGGCATTCTCTGATATCTTCAATGCCTGACGTGATAGATATAGGTCGCAACGCTCTGAAGGTGTATGACCAAGCAATACAAAAGATGCGCGGGCTCAATTTCTACTCAGTTAATGGAAAAATACAAGTTATCGTCTTGCTCCTGAAAATCGTTAAGTCCTTGCCCTGTTTTTGTCTCAGTGAAAATTCCAGTTTCACAAGATACTTGGAGGTAGGCGAGATCCCTCAAGAAATGGAAGATCTTCTCCAACAGGAAGATCACAAATTCATCCAGAATCTTGGCCTAACCACGTTGCAGCTACTTAATACACTTTTCGAAGATATCAAATACAGGCAATTGACCACGTGCGATGATAACGAATTTAGAGGCCTAAGCACTGCGAACGTAAGGGCGTGCAAGTTGCGACAAGAATTTTACGAAATCACTGGATTTGACAGAAGCAGGTTGGTGACTGGGCAGGTGCAGGAGTCTTGGTCACCCTTATCGAAAAAGACGCCTGATCTCCTTCAAGTAGTGGTGCAGGATACCCTTTTCAAGAATAATGAAACCTCATACAGTGGCTGGTACAACCTTGACAAAGAAGTGGTTTTGTCCATTTATCATCTCTTAAAACCTCATTGTCTACAGGGTAGTGGCAACCATGACAACATGTTCATTTTCTCCAAGGCCTGCCTTCGCCTTCCACCTGAAGACAAACCGCCCGTCGAAGAACTTGACAAAGTTGTACGAACGTGGATAAAGAAGTTTCCCGACTCCGAGTGGGCGCATCTTTTTAACTACATGATCCATTTTCCTATCCCAGATGGAAGCCTTGCTGCGACTAATTCAGGAACATTGGCGTCCATTAAGAAATGTTGTGAAATGGTCCAGAAGAGGACAGGTTGGAGAGCTCGGAAATCTGCAGCTGAGTACTTCCTCGGTAACGGGACTGGACTGGCCGCTATTGTAAGCCGTCAAGAGTTTCCCGAATTAGAAAAAAAGTGGAGGAATACAAAAACGGACTTTTGGAGGAGCAAGGAAGTCTCCCAAACATTGGCCCGTGTACGAGGTCAAAAAGCATCTACAGGAGTCATTACATATCGAGGAATTCAACTTCGTTTTGATGACATGCTCTATCCTAAGGAAAGCAGAGACGACTTGTGGTTCTACGTTGGCTTTTCAGTGGCTGGTCCGTACGCATACGATCCAGTAGATAAAGACACTTATTCGAACATGACCAGAAAAGCAGCAAACAGAAAGTTAGCGGCTTTT